TCCAACTGCCCTCACCACCTGTGATAACCAAGGCAAACCCCTCTACCCCCAGAATTAAACTTTTGGTTTGGGCAAGACACAAAGAAAGAGAAACAATCCATTTACTAATTATTCCTTCCCCACCCAACCCCAATCTCTGCAGGAACAAAATGGCATTTTGCTGGGTCAGCTACCACTTCAAGACCCTCTCTCCTTTGGCTTTGGTATCTCCAGGGCCTCTGAACACTGTTAGAGAAGAAAGCTCTAGAAAACTCGTAAGGGCCTAAAAGCCTCCCTCCAGTCTGATCATGCTACAAACGTGGATTTCAAGAAGGCGGGGGGATGCTTCTTTATCTGAAAGCATCATCCCTAGAGGGTGTTCGACAACTCTGTCTAACAATAAGTTGTCCACCTCAGAATGAGGATGCTCGGGGCACCTGAGTGGCTCAGTCAGTTAAGCACCCAACTCGTGATTTAGGCTCAGGTCATGATCTCATGGGTCCTGAAATTGTGCTGTTTAAGAAATTACACACTAGACCTTGTCCAGCACCTGGCTGGGTTATGGTAGGTAACCTTTCATTTTTTTTTTTTTTTTATGGCTTTCCAATTTTGACAGAAGTTTTCAAACACTTCCAACATCACCTACTCCCTAGCATGCCTTGTACACAGATTCCTAGATCACAGAACGGACTTTCCCACAGTGTCAGGCCCTCACTGGCCTGCATGGTCTTCTCCTCTGTTTTCCCAGGAGGGAGACTCGGGAAACATGGCCTAGGTGGGAAGAACAAATGGAGCCAGAACCTGGGGTATGAACCCTACACTCCCAGCCATCACACCTGTGGCCTTTGGGAGACTCTTCCCCAGGGCCACTTCATGCCTGTGTGCTCTGGGTACTAGCACCAGGCCCCGTGCTCAGAAGGGTCCTGGACTTGGTTTTATGCTCGCCTACTGCCATCTTGAAATTCTTAATTTCTGAACAAGGGCCCCACATGTCCATTTTGCACTCTGCACCACAAACACACAACCAGTCCTGCTCTCTTCCACCCTCTAAGACTTAAGATGAGGGTCACTTCTTCTGAGAAGACATATAAGGGGCACCTGGGTGGCTCAGTCGTTAAGCATCTGCCTTTGGCTCAGGTCATGATCCCAGGGTCCTGGGATCGAGCCCCGCATCAGGCTCCCTGCTCAGCGGGGAGCCTGCTTCTCCCTCTGCCACTCCCCCTGCTTGTGTTCCCTCTCCCGCTGTGTCTCTCTCTGTCAAATAGGATAAATAAATCTTTAAAAAAAAAAAAAGATATCAGCTCCTCTCTGACTGGCCCCCATAACCTCCCATGACCCCTGGCTCATACCTCCATTTACTGATTCACACCCACCACCATTTAACGGACCCCTGCTATAATATCATCACCACTGGCTTTCTTGAGTACACACCAAATCCCAGGCCAGTATTACGTTCTTCTCATACAAGAGTTATATTTACAGCAACTCTCATAAGGTAGGCACTATTACTACCCCCAATTTACTGAGAGGTTAAGGACCTGCCCGTGGAGCTGGCTGCAGGGGAAGCAGGACTCTTGAGTTCAGGCAGAGCACAGGCTCAGAACCAGGAATGCAGTGCTCAAGAAAGGGAAAGTCTTTATGAGAGCCACCCCACTCCCACCCCTGATGTATAATTATTAGTTGCATTTTTTAATTATCTATTTAAATGTCTGGATACTTCACCAAATTATGAATTCCCAGAATCCCCAGCCCCTTGTGTTCATCTCTGTAATATGGAAGCCTATCGTCGACTTGGGACGTGTGGTAGTCAAAAAAATTCTCAAGAAAATGAAGAAAAGGTCATTTTGATGTGAGGTATTAAAATACTTCAAATATTTCCTATTAAACCATGACAATGACATTAAAAAATAATCTAACTGGTGTGTTATTTTAGGTAACAAATTACAAATTATTTGAATGAAATAAGATGATCTAAATGGAAGTAGCAATTAACCAAAAAAAAAAAAAAACAAACAAACTATCATCCATTTTTCCTCACAGTGATAAGTGCCTCTCAGGATTTTTAGTTGTTTAAAATCCACTTTTTTCTCGAAGTTTTAAATTTTTTCAATTTGATTACCATAATGCCTCTAAAACTCTGGCAAAGTCCCAACAAGAAATCTATGCCATTAGCATTCCTAAAACTATATTAACTCTTGCTAAAAATGCAGGTCATGAATCTAATTTTGACACATCAGACAAACACAAGTTGAGGGACAGGCTACAAAGCAACTTCCCTGAAACTGGCCAGTCCTTTTCTAAATGTCAACGTCGTATCAAAGAAAACCAAGGAGCTATGCCAGGCTAGAGGAGATTGAGGAACAAGGACAATTAAATGCCACTGGGAAAACCTGTACTGGTTTCTGTACCAGGAAAAAATGCTGTTAAAAACAGGATATTTTAGACACTGGGGGGTGGGGGATGGGGGGGAAAAAAACACAGGACATTTCAGGAACAGATGGCAAATTTTGAGTAAGGACTATAGAGATTAGATTAATATTAATGTACCAATGTTGAATTCCCTGATTTCAATAATTGTACTGTGTTATGTGAGAGAAATGCCCTATTCGGAATTAAGCATGAAAGTATTTAGGAGTAAAGGGAATAATGTCTGCAACTTAATTTCTAACGAGAGAGAGAATATTAAAAAGCAAACGTGACAAAATGTTAACATTTGATGGAAGAGCCATCACCGTTCACCACATGATTTTTGTAACTTTCTTCCTAGTTTTTAGAAGTTACTACCCCCCAATTTTTAAAATTTTATCAGCACAAGTACTGCTGTTATTAATCAGGAAATGATGCAGAATGCAGGTAAATATCATGGCCTGTAATCTAGTGATCAAGGACTCGATATTCTGATTTCTAAAGGTTTCTGAACTCTAAAAATAGTGTTGAAAAATATATTTTAAGTCATCATGTGATAAAATTAGTAAATAATTAAACAGTAAGGTCAAAAAAAGCTTCTTTCTCTTCCTCTCTCTGAAATCTTCCAGTTGGGGCTTCCTACTCTGGCCCTTCTCCCCACCCCCCCCCCCAAGTGTATCAAATAACTAACCTCACCCTCGATCACTTTCTGAGCTGACAGTTTCTTCAGTGCTTTTTGGGGGCTTTCAAAGCAAATGGCCGAGCAGGAGCTGGGTTAATATTCAGAACTCTGCTCGGGTTTCCCCTACTGTCGTATTGGCATGACAATGGAAACCACGGGCCACAAAAGGAGACCAACAAAGGAAGACAAGTTTTTAATGCTAGAGCCATCTGCCAATTCTCCTTAGGATCTTTCCAAGAACTGAGTGAAGATAAAGCAGGAGCTGAGAAGGGGGTCTGCAGGGGAGGGCAGAAAAATCATTCACAGGAAAAGCAATTGCAATATGAAAAGAACCAAAGAAGGTTTGGAGCCTGGATAGATGAATGAATGGAATCCCTCTAAATAGATCCACCGCACCCTCTCCAATGGGGCTTTTGTTGGTTGCCTAGCATTTTAAATGTTATAGTCAGAATATGTTATTAAGGGAGGATTTAATATACACGAACCACAAAAAAACACCCTGCAGAGGGGTCTTCTGATTATCCACGTGGAAAGCCCAAGCCACCTGCCTTTACAAAGATTATGCCGGGTTTTCTTTCTTTACGTAGCAAAATGTTCTGAATACAGTAGTTTAGCAATAATAAAGCATTTTTATACCAACTCTACATCCCCCACTTCTCCCAGAGACTTGCAAAATGTTAAGACCACCAACTATGAAAATCTATTTAAATGCGCTAAAACGAAATATATTCATGGCCTCGGGGGATTTTATTTAAAAAACAATTTTTTTGAGCCTAAAACATATTCCTCTGACATTGTTCCTAGAAGAGAAGTTGTATGCAAAACCCTGAAACCACGTGTGGACGACTTCTTGGGAAGACTAAAGCTTTGGAAAGCAGTTCACACTTGACTCAGATATGCCTTCCCCGAGACATCTAACTCATCTTTTTCAGAATTCTTAACATCCTGAAGGTAAGGCACAGCTTTTCTCCGTCTCTGCCTCTCCTAAAACATTACTAAACCCTGAATGGGATCAGTCATCTTCTGGAACTTTAGGTAACATGCGCTCATTTCTGAACATATCCTTACAGGTAATCTCCTGTAGAATTCGTAGTTGAAATAGAAGTCAACATTGGCTGGGTTGCTTTGTGGGTTTTTAATGGGGTGTTTGGGTGGTTTTTGTTTTGGTTTTAATTCCACCAATTTAAAAATGCACTCATCTTGGGGCGCCTGGGTGGCTCAGTCGTTAAGCGTCTGCCTTCGGCTCAGGTCATGATCCCAGGGTCCTAGGATCGAGCCCCTCGTCAGGCTCCCTGCTCCGTGGGAAGCCTGCTTCTCCCTCTCCCACTCCCCCTGCTTGTGTTCCCTCTCTCGCTGTGTCTCTGTCAAATAAATAAACAAAATCTTAAAAAAAAAAAAAAAAAGGCCATCTAGTCGTTTCTCTTTGGGTCTGACTATATACACTCCCCACCATAATTTTTAGGATTTATAAGATGCCTTTCAAGGAAATCTTCACAGATACAGTGTTTATATAAATCTGGTGCCTATTTAAAAACTAATGTTGCGAAGTTGTAGCATGCGTTTTATAATGTTGAAAGAGTATCTTTTAAAGCTTGTAGGACAGACTTTGCAGTCTCCACCACGTGAACGTGAACGAGAGGGGCTCTCTCCTTCCCTCCTCAGTCAGCCCAGGGACAGGCAAAGGTGCAGGGTCAGCCAGAAGAGGATGCCCAACGAACAAAGTTTAATTCCAGGCTGATGACACACAAGTTGGCCAATAGGCCTGGCTCTGGGAGCAACTGTGGCAGCCTCAGGCACACGCTGGCCTCCCTGGTGCCACCACACAGTGTCTGCACACCCACCGGCCCCGGGCCTTGAACTCTGCTCCCTGACTGTCAGCGGCCCATGATGGAGTTGCAACCCTGTGGCCCCAGGCCGGAGCCGGGAGGCTGACCTCTCGTCGTGAGCCGGCTGTAGACCTGGCAGTTGACTTCCCTGTCCCGCACATAGCATCGGATCTCCTCCACAGCCTCTCTGATGACAGTGACGGCCAGCACAAAGCCCTGTGGAGAGAGCGGAGAGAGGATGAGCCCTGAGGAAAGTGACCTTCCTCTTCTGGTGCTGGGGACAGAAAAGGCCAGAGGCCACACCGAAGGGCAGCAGGGCAGAGCCTGCTAATTACCCCAAATGCACGCGCCCCAGCAAGCCCACTTCTCCCGACTCCTTCCTACACACATGCCCTGGGGAAACACTCGCTGACACACAGGTACACGGGCAGCCCTACCCACCACCACCGCAGGGTTTAGAAACCACAGGGTTTCTAAGTGGAAAAGGTGGTCTGTCCACAGGCAGTGACAGAGGGATGGTGTCTGCTATTCGTACCTCACTCGTCTTGTGCTGGGCGCCCTTCCAACTACACTACACCCCCACAGCAACCCTACGCTCACGATTGCTAAGACGGAGCCTCAGAAGCACAGAACGGTTGAGTCATCTTGCCCAAGGATATGAAGCTCTAAGTGACAGGCAGGAAATCTGGCTCCAGAGTCCTTGCTCCTAACAGCCACGGTGTTGTGCCTCCAGACAAACTTGGAAGACTTACTAGCCAATAAGATGGGAGGCCCAGGAGAAGGTTAAAAAGAATGAGATCCATCCCATGCACTGACCTGCCAAGGAGGGAAATTCACTTTTCACAACATACAATGTAACACCGTGCATACAAACAAGGGACAGCCATCATCTTCTGTGAAGAGTCCCAATTTCCTTAACTATTGGCTAGATTCCTTTGCAAGGAAGGGACTGAGAGGGAGGAAGGGGCCAAAGGGGACTTCAGTCTTGTCTGTACTGTTTTAAATCCTTATAAAGAGAACACACTGAAGCATTAATTGTGTAAGTAGAAACAAATTATAAAAAAAATTGGAAACTGCCCGACCTTTCCTGGGCCAGGTACCCCAACTCATAAAATTTGGTGGGAACTGGTGTTTGAGTCAGCCATAACAAGAAACTATTTCCATCTAGATTTCTCCTCTCATGTCAATAAAGGCAAGAACACTCATTCATTTTTCTTACAAGATAGCCTTGTCATCTCCTTTTAAAGTCATTTAAAAAAAAAAATTACAGAAAGCACCATCACCCTGAAGGTTAGCAGCGGTCATTCTTTGAGCATTTCATTTTCATACTGTTTACTCCGCGAAATATATTAACTTCGATTCAAAGGACTTTAAATCTCTTATGTAAATCTAGCCAGAGATGTGCGGCTTTGTGAAACTCCTCCAAGGGCTCATTCATCTTTACAATCAAAGGATTACTCCTGTTTCCAATCAGATTGTAAAGTACTGGCTGCAGCCAGAGCAAAACTGGTGCATTTCAGAATAAAAGCATAACAAGACCAGGAGGGGAGAGGAAACCTGTTCTGGGAAGAACGCAGACCCAGGGTGCACAACCCTCCCCCCCGCCCCCCCAAACTGCCAGTTTCCTTGTTTTGGGCCAGAATCCAGGTGTTTGCTGTTTGTTTTTTCAAATGTTCCCGTTTCTATTTCGCCCTGCGTGGGCCCAGCTAAATCCCATTGATGACAGTGGAAAGTGTGTGCTCCTACAAAGACAGGAGCCGCTAACCTCCCTGCTGCAGATAAATACCGCCTCCTAAATTATCCTATCTGCTCCCCCCACCCCACGCCCAAACACACAGTTCCCATTAATCCCAGAGGACATGCCATCCCTGAGGCTAGAAAATGCTTTCACAAAGAGATGCAAATGTAGTCCAGAAATAAATTCCAACTATGCAACTTCAGAGGTCCTTCATAGCCACAGATATTTAGAGAGAGGCTTTAATAGGGAGGCCTGGGGTTGTCTGAGCTTGTCAAAGAATCAGAGGCAGTGATAGCCTCTGATTAGCGCCGAGACAAGCCATTCTGAAGGTGCTAAGCCTCCTTTTGTAAAGTTGTACGTCAAAATAGAGTACAACAAAGCAAAACAAATCTATGAGCTAGAAATCAGAAAAGCAGTTGCCTCTGGTTCAGGATGGGGTGACTGGAAAGGGGCATTAGGGAACTAGGGTGATGAAACTGTTCTGTATTTGACTGAGGTGCTGTTTCCATGGGTGTTGACAAGTCAACACTCACCACTTTGTGAACGTAGTATCTGTGCATCTAAGGTACACAGAGTAGATCTTAATAACAAAAAAATCTAGATTATTTGGTCTTCATACAATTTTATGGATTATTTCAGCTATCTATTGAGGAATTTCTCCCTCTAATACATTAGTACCAAAAAAAAAAAAAGTTATCAAAAGCTAAGCCTTGGGGCGCCTGGGTGGCTCAGTTGTTAAGCGTCTGCCTCCGGGGCTCAGGTCATGGTCCCAGGGTCCTGGGATCGAGCCCCGCGTCGGGCTCCCTGCTCGGCGGGAAGCCTGCTTCTCCCTCTCCCACTCCCCCTGCTTGTGTTCCCTCTCTCGCTGTCTCGCTCTCTGTCAAATAAATAAGTAAAACCTTAAAAAAAAAAAAAAAGCGAAATCTTCATCCAGTGAACAATGTTACTAGTGCCAGAATTTTAAAATTCAAATGAGAGTATGTCCTCTCAAGAGGCATCTTATTTGTAGTACTTCATTTAATTCTTCCAACAAGCCAGCGAAGGAGACATGATCGTCCCTGTTTTACAGATGAGAAAACTGAGATTCAAATTATCTAATTTCTCAAAGTGCAGCCAGGAACCACACCTCAGCCGCATGGCGCTCAGCCCTCATTCAGAACCACGGTGCTTATTTTATTTATTTTTTAATAATTTTTATTATGTTAATCACCATATATTACATCATTAGTTCTTGATGTAGTGCTCCATGATTCATTGTTTGTGCATAACACCCAGTGCTCCATGCAGAACGTGCCCTTTTTAATACCCATCACCAGGCTAACCCATCCCCTCACCCCCTCCCCTCTAGAACCCTCAGTTTGTTTTTCAGAGTCCATCGTCTCTCATGGTTCGTCTCCCCCTCCGACTTACTCCCCTTCATTCTTCCCCTCCTGCTATCTTCTTCTTTTTTTTTCTTAACATATCTTGCATTATTTGTTTCAGAGGTACAGATCTGTGATTCAACAGTCTTGCACAATTCACAGCGCTCACCATAGCACATACCCTCCCCAATGTCTATCACCCAGCCACCCCATCCCTCCCACCCCCCACCACTCCAGCAACCCTCAGTTTATTTCCTGAGATTAAGAAATCCTCATATCAGTGAGGTCATATGATACATGTCTTTCTCTGATTGACTTATTTCACTCAGCATAACACCCCCCAGTTCCATCACGTTGTTGCAAATGCAAAGATCTCATTCCTTTTGATGGCTGCATAATATTCCATTGTGTATATATACCACATCTTCTTTATCCATTCATCTGTCGATGGACATCTTGGCTCTTTCCACAGTTTGGCTATTGTGGACATTGCTGCTATAAACATTGGGGTGCACGTACCCCTTCGGGTCCCTACATTTGTATCTTTGTGGTAAATACCCAGTAGTGCAATTGCTGGATCGGATGGTAGCTCTACTTTCAACTGTTTGAGGAACCTCCATACGGTTTTCCAGAGTGGCTGCACCAGCTTGCATTCCCACCAACAGTGTAGGAGGGTTCCCCTTTCTCCAAATCCCCGCCACGGTGCTTATTTTACAGCTGGGTTTGGAACGAGAGGCCTTTCGGGGTAGTCAGACATTTCAAGTATGTGTTCTAGTCCAGAACGGAAACAGACTCTGCACAGAAAAATCTAGGGGAGGACAACACCTGGGTAGTTCAGTCTGTTAGGCATCTACCTTCAGCTCAGGTCATGATCCTGGAGCCCCACGTCGGGCTCCCTGCTCAGTGGGGAGTCTGCTTCTTCCTTGACCCATTCCCTGCCCCTGCTTGTGTGCACTCTAATAAATAAATAAAATCTTAAAAAAAAAAAACTTTGTGAAATATTAAAAAAAAAAATCTAGGGGAAATCAGCTATAGTCACACCTAGAAATAGATGCCATCTACTTTGTCTTTGACCCCAAACCTCCTTCTCTGCAGCCCCTGGGAAGAGGCAAACCAAGACCCACATCCCCCCACAGTCCTAAGCCTTCATAGGAAAAGCTGCCTATAAACGAGACACGGACGCAGAGGCAGGAAGCTCAGGGCCACCAGAGGCTGCTATTCACCTGCCTGGTTTCTACCTGCGGCCACAGTTCACAGTTTGGGGTGGGGGGGAGGAACAGGTGAGTCAGCAGGCAGACAGGGAGATGGCAGAGGTGGCTGGGGTCACAGTACCACACGCACTGAAGGTCAGGCTTCTCTGGGAACCTCTAGGCATCACTTCAGCAAGGTGACAGAGGCAGGAGCTGGGGCCAGGCCCTCTAATTTAGAAGGGGGGGTGGGGGGTCCTCTAGGCCATCCCTGTCCCCACCACTTGCTCCAGCCCAGCTGGACTGGACAGGAGGGAGATTTTCACTGGGAACATTTTTATGTTTCATGCATCATGTGAATGTATTACCTTTCAAATAACTACACTTCAAAAAGGGAACCAACGGAAGGCAATGTGATAAATTATATTTTTATATACATTAGAGACTTTTTATTTTTTTATTTCTATTTTTTACAGATTTTTATTTATTCATTTGAGACACAGAGATACAGAGAGAGAGAGAGAGAGAGAGAGAGAGCATGAGCAGGGAGAGAGGTAGAGGGAGAAGCTGGCTCCCCACTGGGCCAGGAGCCCAATGTGGGGCTCGATCCCAGGACCCCGGGATCATGACCTGAGCCGAAGGCAAACGCTTAACCATCTGAGCCACCCAGGCGCCCCAGAGACTAACTTTTTAAAAATAAGCAACTTAGGGTGACTCTATATAGGTAGGTTTGTAGTAAACAGTGGAACGATAAAACTCAAATTAAATTGGGGTAATTCATATAAAACTCTAAAGTTTCTAACTCCGGGGACTGGCAACTCCAGGTCTATGTCTGCACCTGCGGAAATGGAGCAGCGCCTTCCATCTTGGAAGGGACAGGAGCTCCCTAGCTCTCCCAAGGCTCGGTTGTGGCAGCCCAGCCTCTGAGTCCGCAGCATTTCATTCCGTGTGTAAGAACGCAGACTGGAATGTTTGTTATGCAAGGGAAGGATGCAAACAAAAGTTTGCTCCCACCCCCAGAGTCCTACCTCACCTACAAACGACAGCAGGACAGAAGAGCTTGCACATCCCCAAAGCACCCTTGCTGTTCATGTGGGAAAAACGAATCCCCTCTCCTTTCTCAGGGCTGGAGCTGCTGGCCTGACTTATCTGCTAATGCGACAAGTAAAAAAATCCTGTTCTTACTTCTTTAAGGAAGGCTTAAATCTTTTCTACTGTAACAGTCTTCTCCCAATTAAAACGTCAACAATATTTGTGAACAGAGAATTCAAGTGTCCTCCCAAGTCCCACCTAACTTAGTGAGAAATAAACAGCCTCTATTTGGAGAAGAGGTGTCAGTTTCACCCTCTCCACCACCCAGTAACACTGGGTTTCCTTCTGTTCTTCAAATGCTCTGAGCACATCCCTACCGCAGGGCCTTTGCACGGCTGTATCTGTAGCTGGAATACTCCTGCCCTCCTACTCTTCTGCCCATCCCCTCCTCAAGAGGCTTTCCATGGCCACACTGGCTAAGGCTGCGCCTGGGGGGCTCAGCTGCTTAAGCGGCTGCCTTCGGCTCAGGTCATGATCCCAGGGTCCTGGGATCGAGCCCCGCATCGGGCCCCCTGCTCAGCGGGAAGCCTGCTTCTCCCTCTCCCACTCTCCCTGCTGTGTTCTTGCTCTCACTATCTCTCTCTCTGTCAAATAAATAAATAAAATCTTAAAAAATAAATAAATAAATAAATAAAATGTGCCTGGGATTGCCCATCTAGCCTGTGACTTTATTCTATAACCTCTGTGGCACTTTTCACAATTCAAAATGATTTCATTCCTCTGTTTACTGTCTATCCCTTCCGAACATCAACTCCACAAGGGCAGGAGTTTTTATCTGTTTCATTCCATGCTGTGTCCCCAGCATCCAGCACAGTGCCTGACGTACACAGCAGGTGCTCAATAACCACTTGCCAAAAGGAGGTAAGGGAGGGAATGGAGGAGCATTCTGGCCAGTTCTGTCTGACTTCGTACACAAAGCACAGAACCTGGTACCTTTCAAACCCTCATGCTGACAGACTCTACATAAACAGAAAAGGCGATCTCAGAAAACAATTCAAATAGTACAACCCATAAAGACAGAAGCTCATCCTTCTTGCCTGCCACTGTGTCCCCAGAGTCTAGAAGGGGGTGAAATGCACAATAAGTATGCAATACATAGTAGCTGAAGAAATGAATGACCGAGCAACTGATGGACAGAATGAATCAAGAGCACAGGCTTCACCAGAGTTTGATCCTGGTGGTGTATGAAAGGGAGCTTCAGCATGAAAATCTCGGGGGGATGGAGGGTCTCTCTCTCCAAAGGCCGTATCCCTTTCCAGATGCCCGGGTGACAGAGACAAAGAAGTGTCTGTTCCCAAAGCCCTGAGGCCACTGAACAAACCAGGCTGATTTACTCACCAGGGGGACCCAGTAGGTATAGAGGGCACCAAGTCTCATCTCAGGAACAAACTGAGAGCAGGCAAGAAGTAAGAAATAGAGGTTGAAAAAGTATTTGAACTGGTTAAACAGCACCTGGAATGAGGAGAGAGAAGAGGGAAGACAGTCAAGGCTTGTCTGATGAGGTCGGGGGTGGGGAGGGTGGTTTAGTAGGAGGGGAACCTCCATTGAAAGCATTCCTACCCAAGAACACAACTCCCACGGTACCATCCATGGGAACTTTAAACACTTCTATATATTGTCTAGGAAAATACATATGGGTAATAAAAATATTTGTAAAAGTAAAAATATAAATAATGATACACGGGGAAATGATATATTTCAAGAGAGTGGGTACCCCTGGGGGTGGCGGGCAGGGGGGAAGCCATGCCAGGGGCATTCAACTTTATCTGTTATGACTTATTTCTTAAAAACCATCTTAAGTACAGGTAGGCCCCTCAAAACATGAAAAGGAGGTTTTAGTGGAAAATACCTCTACTGTTAAGATTGATCAGGAAACGAGGTAAATCATCATCTCCATGATATGGTCTCAACACCATAAAATAAATACAGCAGAATCCCATCCTGGGTGGAGGTGGGTTCCGGCAGAGCCTCGGCTGAGCCCACATGCCCTGGGCGTGGGACTGGTACCGCAGGACTCATCTGGGGCACTGAGCGGAAATGACGTGTCTCTCCGGGGTGAAGGCAATTAAGAGCGCTTTGTCGGCCCCCTCGCTCTTGCTTGGCCATGGAGATACGGGTGGCCTTGTATTCCAGAGCACATAGCTACAAGATGGAAGAGAGTGACCCCGTGTACACCAGGATTTCCATCAATGAGAAATAAACCTTTTCCTGATTTAAGATACTGAGATTTGGGGGAGGGGGGAGTTGAAGGTAGCAATGAATGTAGTCGGAGTCGCCCTAAAACAACATTCAAATTGACCTTAAGCGACAGCATTACACATTTGTGTTTTCTGTACTCTCTCTCAATAAATCAAAGAGTCATTTTTTTTTTTTCCTTCCAGCACTGGAACTGGTTGCTGTTCCTGCTTCTAAAGTCAGCTGGTGTGTGTGGGAGGCTCTGGTGGATAAAAATAGGTATGCAATTTGGGGTGGGGGGGAGGTTTGTACAGTACACATCCACGGATTGGTCTAAGTTAATGCGGAAACGCTGTGACTCCACAGCATAAAATACCAAGCCAAACAGAAACATCCAATAGCAAAAATATCCACAGAAATTCTCTCTGGATGGTAGGAATGAAACTTACCTCTTAAAATTTTTCTCTATATTTGTGTCTCCTGACTTTCCTAGAGTGAATATGCATTTCATGATGACAGGGGGAGGAATTTAGGGTCTGATGGGTTTTTGGGTTTTTTGGTGTCGGGTTTTTGGGAGATGAACGGCCAGTGGCTAAGGCAGCCTAGAAAACACACAGGCTATTCTGCCACGGGAACCTGGGTCTCCTAAAAAACGGTCCCTGGCCATACGTACCCCAGGAAGAAAGGTGAAGAAGTTGTACTTCTGGTTGTTGATGACATTCCAAGGGTACCTCTGGTCCCTCTTCTCGGGATGCCCCAACCACACAGTGCGGGGCCTGGGCTCCCCTCCACTGCAGCATCGCACCCACTCACAGCACCTGTGGGAAAGACAAAGTCACACTGTCAAGGCCACATCCACACCTGCCCGCTCTTCTCCGAATGTTTTTCTCTCAAGCATCTGCCCTGGGTCGGGACAAGAGCCACGAATGGGGCTTCATCCGTCATGAGAAGGGAAAACGGAGCCAAGGCTTCTAAGAAGCTGTGCTCCAGATAAAAGATGGTTTGTGCCCAAGCCCAAATTAGTTATTTCAAAATATAAGATTCATTTTAAAAATGAGATTTAAGTTAAAAAAGTAAAGATACAGCAACACATCAGCACTATTACTTTCACATTTTGCTGATGAGAGGAAAGCTCGCAACAGTTAAATGAAGCACCCAAGGAGGACCTAACTCAGATTTCCACTTCAATCTGTGTCTCCCAAATTCCAATTCTAATTACCCAAATGAAAGTCCGTTTGCTTTAAAAAATAAAAATAAAATAAAAAATAAAGCACACAAGTTTGCCAGTAGGTGAGAAACAGGGGAGTCTGGCCTTGAAATGCCTCCATCTCATTCGAAAACCTAGTGTCTTTCCAGCACCCCATACTGTCGAGGTTGCTGGTTCCAACCAAGATAACCAGGTAAAGAAGGGAAAGAATATCCTCTCGACACCCAGATCTCCTTTCAGCAGCACCCCAGAGGAACCAGCCAGGAAGACAATGGCTCAGGGCCTGGCGTCACCTGGAGCCAGGCCAGAGTACCAGCTGCGGGCCAACTGACCCCCCCCCCCACAGCTGTCCGGGCTGTCCTGTGAGGTCAGCTCATGAGTGCACCTGCTCCCGGGTGGCCCGCACCAGGCAGAGCAATGTGGCAGCTCCAGCAGAACAAAGACACTCTGAAAACACCCCAAAAAGGCAGCTCATCCTTCTGGAGAGCCCATACACAAGGCATTTCAAGAATCACAAGCCCTCATAAGCACTGTGATGGAAACACCCCATGCCGAATTGTTGGCCTCTGTCCCCACGCACACAGTCCGGGAGGGAGAAACACCAGTCCAGCCAGCCCCTTGTGACGCTGCCAAGTGAAGCGAAACCAAGCAGACGGGGAGATTATGACTTACGTAAATACTGGTACACCTCGGCCTGCCCTTCTCCCCCTCCTCCTATGGGCCAGGCAGGTCCTGGTGGGGTGCTGGGGTACATAGCTGAGCAAACATGGTCCCTAGGCATCAGCAAGCTGCCTGCCCAGATGCTCAAAATTTCCCGGATGAAACACAATGCTCTTTCTTAAAAATAGCATCTTCATTCCAGTAAACTGGTGCTCAGGTGGAGTGTGTATGTGACAAGGACAGGTTTCACTTCTAGTAACTCATCTGTGTTGGCCCTGTTCTAAGTTGTCCAAAGGCCAGGGACAGAAGCCTCAAGGAGTCCAACATGATTACTGCCCATGGATGGGAAGCACCCGTGCGGGCCACCAGGGGACATGCGCTAAGTGCTGAATGAATGTGGGTGGGGGGAGGGTCATCGGACAGGGAGCACACCTCTCTCATTGGTGGAAGCCACCCCACTGGTCACGACTGACCCCTCTCCCCATCCTGTAATAATCCTGTAATGATGGCTCCCATACTAATGAAAGCTGAAGAATGGATTTCAGAAAACCAAGCATCAGGTCGACTATGTTTATATGCGTTTTGTCTGTGTTGTCTTAGCAGGCTCTGCACCACAAGCTATCAGGTTAAGCCATTCATTACTTAACCTGCAGATCTGCGCACGAGCACAAAGTAGGTGGGAAGTCACTGCAACATGCACTGTGGCTGCAAAAGACTGGAAACAGAGGGGGCTGGTGAAATCAACAAGAACAGCCGGGCACCTGGGTGGCTCAGTTGGTTAAGCGACTGCCTTCGGCTCGGGCCATGATCCTGGAGTCCCGGGATCGAGTCCCATGTCGGGCTCCCTGCTCAGCGGAGAGTCTGTTTCTCCCTCTGACCCTCCCCCCTCTCATGTGCGCGCTCTCTCTCTCTCATTCTCGCTCTCTCAAATAAATAAAAATTTTTTTTAAAATGTATTCTTAAAAAAAAAAAAACAAGAACAGCCACAGTAGTCCTTCAAGGAGAATGAGAGCCGGACGCACTAAATGGCCCCATTTTGCAAGACAGGCTAAGTCGAAAAGCAAGAGGCTAAAAGGTGTGTCCAGGATGCTCCTCTTTGCATGAACACAAGAGGATCCACAGGCAGACATGCTTCAAACGCAGGAAATCTCCAGTACCGGTTCCCTTTGGGAAGGAGGGAGTAGGGAGACCTTTTGCTATGTATTCTTTAGTTACAATGTTTCATATCATCCAGGGACTCAATGTGGTTTTCCCAGCTCAATTCATAAGAGTAAGCATTTATTAAATATCCAACTGGTAGGAAGTTAGACTACTCCAGGTCCTATGGGGACTGAATGTTGGAACAGGATCTTGCCTTCTCCTTCCTCGCAGTCCCACTGCAAAACAGGGTTAAGTGTTCAGCACAGGATAAAATAAAAACTTTGTGTCACTCGAGCCCAGTATAATTGGCCCCAAGGCCATCTCATTTAGCCAATCTGACGGTCACCGCATTTACTCACTTTCTGCATGCACTGGCTATATATAACTTGCACATTTCCAATACGTGATCAATCCGACTTTCCGGTCAACAGTATTTATTGAACACTAACAACAATAATAATATAAGACAAGTAATCACTGCCTCTTTTTTGTCACCTGCTATGTCTTGTGCGCTCGGTGTCCTGGGCCCTCCCCCGGCGCTTGGGCATTCAGGAGTGAACAAAACAGACAAGTCCTCCCCCTCTGGAGCTTCTACTCTAGTGGAGGGAGACAGACCATAAACAACCACCCAAAATAAAATAAGGCCTGGGCAGGAGAGGGTGTGGGGGACAGGTGTGGCTTGGGAAGACCAGGTGGTCAGGGAGGCTGGTGTGACAGCTGAGCTGAGGGGACAGGTAGCAAGAGCCATGCAACCATGCAAGGAAGTACAATCTGGGCAGACTGGAAGGGAACCCCAAGGGCAAAGATCCAGAGGTGGGAACCAGCCTGGTTACACACTTGTCTATAAGGACTGGTGTGTACCAACCATAGGGGAAAGAAGGGAGGAAGGAAGGAGGGAGGAGGAGAAAGAGAGGCCAGGTGACACTGGGCCTTGTCTCTGGGGCAAGGAGTCTGGATTTTACTCCATGCACCGTGGGGATCGTGGACGGGTTACAAGCAGGAGGTGGCATGATCTGATTGACATTTTTAAAAGTTCGGTCTGGGGCCTCTTTTCTCGGGTACCAGAAAGAGGCGGGTCTCTTTTCATTCCCAGTGCAGCCGTGGCTCGTGGTCCCAAGAAGCATCTGAAGCGCATAGCAGCTCCAAAGCATTGGATGCTGGATAAACTGACTGGTGTGTTTGCTCCTCGCCCATCTACTGGTCCCCATAAGCTGAGAGAATGTCTCCCTCTCATCATTTTCCTAAGGAACAGACTTAAGTATGCCCTAACAGAAGATGAAGTCAAGAAGATCTGTATGCAGCGTTTTATTAAGATTGATGGCAAGGTCCGAACTGATATAACCTACCCCGCAGGTTTTATGGATGTCATCAGCATTGACAAGACTGGGGAGAATTTCCGTCTGATCTATGACACCAAGGGTTGCTTTGCTGTTCATCGGATAACACCTGAGGAGGCCAAGTATAAGTTGTGCAAAGTGAGAAAGATCTTTGTGGGAACAAAAGGAATCCCTCATCTGGTGACTCATGATGCTCACACCATCCACCATCATGATCCCCTCATCAAGGTGAATGATACCATTCAAACTGATTTGGAGACTGGAAAGATTACTGATTTCATCAAGTTTGATACTGGTAATCTGTGTATGGTGACTGGGGGTGCCAACCTGGGAAGAACTGGTGTGATCACCAACAGAGAGAGACATCCTGGTTCGTTTGATGTGGGTCACGTGAAAGATGCCAATGGCAACAGCTTTGCCACCCGACTCTCCAACATTTTTGTTATTGGCAAAGGCAACAAACCGTGGATTTCTCTTCCCCGTGGAAAGGGTATCCGCCTCACCATCGCTGGAGAGAGAGACAAGAGACTGGCTGCCAAACAGAGCAGGGGGTAAAATGGTCCCTAGGTGACGTGATTGGAAGACTTTATACTTAATTAAAGGTCATACAGCATGAAAAAAAAAAAGTTCGGTCTGGGGTGCCTGGGTGGCTCAGTCGGTTGGGCAACTGCCTTCGGCTCAGGTCATGATCCTGGAGTCCCAGGATCGCATTCTGCATCGGGCTCCCTGCTCGGCGGGGAGCCTGCTTCTCCCTCTGACTCTCCCCCCTTTCATGCTCGCTCTCTCTCATTCTCTCTCTCTCTCAAATAAATAAAATCTTTAAAAAAATAAAAATAAAAATAGAAGTTCCGTCTGGATGCTACACAAAGACACTGCAGTCGGTTAACAGTAAAAACAGATCAAGAGGTGTGAGGTTCCTTTTTGGGGTGATGGGCATGCTCGAATATTGATTGTGGTGATGGTTACACAACTCTACGAATATACCTTAAAACTGCTAATTATAGGGCGCCTGGGTGGCTCAGTCAGTTAAGTGACTGCCTTTGGCTCAGGTCATGATCCCGGAGTCCCGGGATCAAGTCCCACATCGTGCTCCCTGCTCAGCAGGGAGTCTGCTTCTCCCTCTGATTCTACCCTCTCTTGTGCTCTCTCCCTCTCTCAAATAAATAAAATCTTAAAAAACAAAAACAAAAAACTGCTAATTATACACTTCAGATAGGCGAATTGCAGGGTACGTGAACTGTATCTTAGTAAAGCTGTATATTAACCAAGAAAAGTAGGAACAGGGGGATCATCCAGGAAGCTACTGTCATCATCCAGGCAGGCAGAGACAGTGGTCCAGACTAGAGTGGTAGCACTGGGTACAGATTTTCAAAATATTACAGATGTAGAAATGTACTGTCTTTAAGCAAACATTTAAAAAAAATGCACTAGGGGCACCTGGGTGGCTCAGTCCATTGAGCATCTGACTCTTGAT